CATAAAAGCCAATAACCATTTTGATCTCTTCCATATACAAGGCAGCCTCCAGAGTTACCCTAAGTTGCACATCCAATTGTACCAGAGTGCAGCGAGTTGAGCCTATGCCACTTGGCAGAGGAATGGGATGATTCAGCAAGGATGTTTCAATTTATCACCACTGTTACAGTGCGGGTATTTTAGCGTGCTGAACTGTCACAGTTTCCTTTCTGCCCACTGAACTGTCCTAGATTTTTTTTTCTCCTTGCATGTCCTAGGTGAAATTGGGCACATCCAGAACATGAGGAAACATTTTGGCATCCATAGGTGTTGTTCAAGAATTCAGTACAAGCAAGGACTTCACCCTTAAGACTAAAATGGTTTTGGCCTTGGCATTTGTGCCAATCTTGTATTTAGGGGATTATGTTGATACTCTGGCAGAATATCTTCCTGAAGAGCTTCACTGTTTGCTCAGTTGGTTTGAAGGTAGCTACATTGGCCACTGAAATAGGAAAAGAAAGGGAAGATGAACTGTTTTATTTCTTCCATGTATTTGAAATCCTGGGACTTCATCCCATGGGATAAGTAAAGCATTGGGATCATTGATTTGAAATTAAACATATGATTTTCCTACCATCATCATATGGTTTCCCTCTTTCCACTTTCTTTTCTAATTATCTGTTTGCCTTCTCATCACATGGGAAACATATTTCTCTTCCCACTGCCTCTGCCCCCATTTTCTTTGGATATTACAATTTCTCTTTATAAGTACAGATAGCTCTCAATTCAAAAGATAAGTCTATTTTATGTTTAAAAAGAGATATCATTTACCAATCCTTCCTCTTCAGTCCCAAAACTGTAATGGCAGAAGAAAGGAATCAATACTGTTCATCTCAGCTCCTCCCTTCATGATGACATCATCATTGTGTTTACAAGTGGCCAAGGGGGGATTCCCATCACACATTAAATTGGGAGATTTTTCATCTCTCTACATGGGGAATTGAATAAGAAGAAAATTGTCAATTGACTTAAGGAAGCACGGGGGAAAAACACACACTTTAGAAATGGAGAAATACCTGGAAACCACAGTAGGAGCTTGCGTCATGTGATGGGCTCTGCCAGTAACAGTTCTTAAATGTGTAGATATGCTGATTTTATTGTGTGTGATGAAGTCCCTTATGTTAGAACACTAAACACTGAGAATTGCACTAACAAGTATTCCCAAGCTGTTTGTTGTTGCCCTTGAGCAGAATTGGGATGGCACCATCCATTCATCTGGAAGTTCATTGTTGACATGAAAAAGATGCGGAAGGGTACTGATGCCTATTATAAACAGTTTATTTCAGGCCACAGTCCTTTAGTTAAGATGAAGAAATAAAAATAGTTTTATAATGTTTGTTAGCAACATGGCCAAACTTTAACAACTGCCCCATAGTACAGAAAGGGTTGTTGATTTATTGATTTATTTATATAGCATATATGTGCTGCCTTTCTCCCAGAATGGGAACCAAGGCAGTTCACATAAAAACTCAATTAAAAACCTGAAAATGTTAAAAATAATATAAATGTGTCACATAAAAATAGAATAAAATCATGTAAAAGGAATACAAGTGTATGAAATAAATAAATATATAAATAAAACTCATGCCCTATTAAGAAGTCTCTCTGATCATCCATTAAAACCTGGTTGAACAAAACAGCCTTTGCCTGGTGGGGAAAGAAGAAGAGAAGTCAGCTTAATCTATCATGGAAAGCAGTTCCAGAAGCAGTAGCAGCCACAGGGAAGGGTCTCTCTCCTATCCTCATTTAGCATCTCGTAAGCATAGCTATGGCAAGATAAGATTGATGATAGTGCATATTTTGACTTTGGACCTCTTCACACAGCCCATTGGGGCTATGCCACTGCGCTGGCAGTCGCCAGCATAAGGGAAGGCACACGGGGTGCGTCATGGTGCCTCGTAAGCCTCCCTTCTTCCCCCATCATATGGTGGGGATGGGACAGGGCACCATCAGATGGGAGAAAGAGCAGCAACACATCATATGGGGGAAAGGGAAGTGTAGGTAGCTCCATTGGAACTACCCAAAAAACACTTTTCTCCCTATGGCCTTTTGACGCTTCCCCTCCACTTCAGGAGGAATATGGGTGAAGCCTGCTAAGCATCGTCTGATAGTTCTTGGCAGGCCCCGTCCAAGCCCCAGCCAAAAGCACCAAAACAGGACTATTTAGCCCCGTATGAAGAGGTCCTTTGTTTGCATCTGCACTATATAGCCCTTTTCTGCTGGCAATGGACACATTGCGCAAAAGTTTTTGTTTTCGTTTTTTGTTGTTTTTGTTTTTTTGTGTGAAGGGGTTGCAATTCTACCATTGGGTACAAGAGGGGTGCTGGACTACATCAACAAAAGGAGTGGAGTGCTTGTCTTGCTATGTACACATGGGCTGCACCAAAAGAGGTTATCTTATAGCACAGTGGTTCTCAATCTTCCTAATACTGCAACCCCTTAATACAGTTCCTCATGTTGTGGTGACCCCCAACCATAAAATTATTTTCATTACTACTTCACAACTGTAATTTTGCTACAGTTATGCAGGATGTATTTTCATTCACTGGACCAAATTTGACACAAAGACCCAATACGCCCAAATTCAAATACTGGTGGGATTGGGGGGGGATTGATTCCATCATTTCGGAGTTGTAGTTGCTGGAATTTATAGTTCATCTGCAATCAAAGAGCATTCTGAACTCCGCCAATGATAGAATTGAACCAAACATAGCACACAGAACTTCCATGACCAACAGAAAATACTCGAAAGGTTTGGTGGGCATTGACCTTGAGTTTTGAAGTTGTAGTTCACCTAAATCCTGAGAGCACTGTGGACTCAAAACAATGATGGATCTCGACCAAACTTGGCATGAAAATCAATGTGTGCAAATGTGAACTTTGGTGGAGTGTAAGGAAAATAGACTTGGCATTTGGGAGTTGTAGTTGCTGGGATTTATTGTTCACCTACAATCAAAGAACATTCTGAACCTCACCAAGGTTAGGATTGGGCCAAACTTCCCACACAAAACCCCCATGACCAACAGAAAATACTGTTTTCTTATGGCCTTTGGTGACCCCTCCGACACCCCCTCATGACCCCTCCAGGGGTCCTGACCCCCAGGTTGAGAAACACAGTTATAGCAGTAGGAAGGCCTGGAACTACATACATTTCCAGCACAGAATGCAGATTTAAGCAAGGCTTCAAGTCCTGACCATTAGGATACTGTATGAAGTGCTAAATACAAACTTTGAAACTCCAAACTGATATCCTGATGCTGTGATATGGTAAAAAGTGAGACTTTAATTACTCAAAAGCATTTTGTTTTGTTTTACTTTGTAAACTTTATCTTTTACCACTCATATAAACATGATCAGTTTACATGAAAGTAAATGCATAGACCATTTTTAAATCCTATGTTCCATTTTCTGCTTTTTTATCTTTCCTTTCTATTTTTCTTCTCTGCTGCCTTTGTATTTATATTTTTAGATGCAATAAAATTTTATAGGAAGGTGTCTTTGGCTACGTGGCTAGAAGGTTGGAAATGAAAAAGAAAATGAGCATGCGTTGCTGTAGGTTTTTCAGGCTATATGACCATGTTCTAGAAGCATTCTCTCCTCATGTTTTGTCTGCATCTATGGCAGGTATCCTCAGAGGTTGTGAGGTCTGTTGGAAACTAAGAAAATTGGGTTTATATATCTGTGGAATGTCCAGGCTGGGAGAAAGAACTCTTGTCTGTTGGAGCTAAGTGTGAATGTTTCAATTGGTCACTAATTGAGCATGAATTCATAATATGGTTACAATATGTAGCTGGATTTTTGCTGTCTGAGATTGTACTCAGTTCCTGTAGAATGAAATCTCCCACCAATGTTCCTACTCCAGTTCACCTGAAGCATACCTCCAGCTATGAGTGCTATTTTTCTTAGAAGCTAGTTCTTCAATGCCTGGCTTGGTAGAGTTTTAGGAACCAAAGCACATATCTTGCAAATTCATCTTTGGTGTTTCAAAAGGTGTGTTTTGAAGGCACTCAAAAGGTGTGTTTTGAAGGCACTCATGGCCCCGAGCTAGACATTGAAGAAACATGCAGCTCCCAAAAGAGTCAGCCTTTGGCTCAAGAGGCATGAAGACCATGTCCTCCTCTGGTACAATGGCTGGACAGGGATGCCTGCCATCCTGGCCATGACCACCACAACTATTCTTTAACTTTTGGAAGTCTTGGATACCTCTCTACATGAGCAGTGAAATACATAACTCTTGCATATCAGTCTATTGGGGAAGCCATTTTAAACTAGTGTCTCCTAGCCCTGGTTTTAATCTGCATCAAACAATTAATTAGTTGAGTATGTGAATTAATTTATTAAACATAAGTCAAACACGATATGCATCCAGGAATGAAATCTTCAAGCCATTAAGTCAAATAACAAAGGTCTCATTCATTCAATTTCTACCTGCAGTTCTTGGGCCTCTGAAAACTACATTTATTTGGCCTGGCAGCTCCCTTTGAATTGTGCTTCCAATTAGAGATAAATGTATTGGCCAGCTTCTGAACTTGCAGATGTAAAAAACCTGTACTGTGCTGATTTCTGAAAAGATTACATCATACTTGTAGAGAGTGAGAATGGCTTCATTCAGAAACACTCCAAATATGGGGTAATTGTACAATTAAGCTTAAATTGAAAGCTTATAATGTGAGAAAGATGGTGGGTAAGAAAAGCATTCCTTGTTGAAAATCATGTTTGTGTTTTTCTGGAAACAAAAAATGCTGCCTTTTTCTTGCTAGTATAAGAATTGGGCTACTATTGATTCAGTGCTGTTTGTATTCTACAATCTGCCCATGTAAAAGGAAGGCGTTATTTGGTGAAGATAACCTACAACATGTTCCTTTTGAAGAAGCAATCAGGGCCTGCTCTAATTTATTTCACTAAACACTCTCCTATTTCCATTGCTCTCAATAACATTCCTCTCCCATTGTTTCCCTCAGGACTGCCCAAGGAGGCAACGAAGGGCTCTTTTGGAATGCCGCACAGTAAGTGCTGGGTCAACTTGGATGGAAAGGATTAAAACCATGGTTGTTCCTGTCTGAAGAAGATTTATCTTGCACAGACTCACCGTAGCCAACAGCCATGTCAAAAAAAGGACGCAGCAAGGCTGAAAAGCCTGAGGTACTGATTATGTCCTTACAAGCTGCCAATGAAGATCTCAGGACCAAGCTCACAGACATTCAAATTGAGTTGCATCAGGAGAAATCTAAGGTGAGTGAAGAAGTTCCAACTTTGCAATAAAGGGTTTATTTTTCGTGTCAGGAGCGACTTGAGAAACTGCAAGTCACTTCTGGTGTGAGAGAATTGGCAATCTGAAATGATATTGCCCAGGGGATGCCCAGATGTTTTACCATCCTATGGGAGACTTCTTTCATGTCCCTGTATGAGAAGCTGGAGCTGACAGATGGGAGCTCACCCTACTCCCCAGATTTAAACCTCTGACCTTTCGATCTGCAGTCCTGCTTGCACAAGGATTTAACGCATCGTGCCACCAGTTTATGCTTTGCAAGAAGGGTGGGAATACAAATAAATAAATATGATAGTATATGGATGGTGAGTGAAGAACAGGCAATTTAAAAGTGGCTGTTTGCAAATAATACAAATGGAAGTTGCCCTCCTATCAACAGAAGAGCAGATGAATATTTTTTAAATGTTTATTTTTATCAAACTAAATGTAGAAGAATGTTTGCCCTGCATATTGCAAGTTTATTCACTGGCCAACATACATTTCAGTGTCTCAAATGTTAGACTTGTTTCTGGATATATCTGAGCTGCTGATTTTAAAAATGACTCAATTTTCCCCCTACCAGCTCTAGTTTTTTGAGATAAAGAGCATATGCCATCCTCCAGCTGCCACCTGCTTGCCCATGCATGATAACCACATCTAAGAAGCTAGAGCTGATGCAATTTAGCCAATGCAATTTTCTGAATCAGCACCCCAAATAAACCCAGGAACAGGCCTAAATATTAAGTCACCATAAAAAAATTTTGTTGGTTGGATTATGCTAATTTCTCCAGAACACATGCCAAATGTATTACCTCAATTTTGTTTTTACTGTAGTTAACTATAGTAGGATTTGTTTGGGGCTAGAAAGAGAGATTATAAAATGAGTCCTACAGCAAATCAAGTCTGAACTTTCCCTAAAAGCAAAGAGGACTAAACTGAGATTGCCATACTTTGGAAATTATATTATGAGAAGTAATGACTCACTAGAAAATACAACATGCTTGGTAAGGTAGAAGGCAGTAGGAAAAGATGAAGACCACATTCCAGATTCTTATATTAAATCAAGGAAATCACAGCACTGCAATGAAATTTTCCAGGTGTCCCCAAATTCCAGGAATTGTAGTGAATTAAAAATTTGGATGAGCATTTAGAAATATAGTTTAATCAACGAAAGAAAGAAGGCAGACAAAGTTAACAAGTAAATGCAAATACAGCAATGTAAATATTGTGAATGGTTTTCATTGTCTAACTCTACAATACTAGAAACTCAGTGTCTGAAGGACAATGTCATTTAGCAGGGCAGAATTTTTGTTGGTGGATTTTTGTTGCTCTCATTTTGCCTCCACCCAGTCCCAATACATGCCTATATTAGATCATGTTTCTATCACATTATCCTTAATCCACCAATCCTGATGAGAATTCTTATACATGCAACCAGACTCTTTAGCTTTGACAAGGCAGACTTGAGATATAAGGTCCTATATAAATTATTGTCCCAAGAAAAATTCAAGGTAATGAAATGGTTAACACACCCATTCTCATATGCCATATCCATCAACTGTCCAAATTTGGTAGGCATCATCTTGATTAATCATCTGATGTTCTGCATTTGAGGCTCCAGTTTTTTCTCTTCTCCCACTTTTTCATTTTGTCCTCATCTTAGTGAAATTGTTCTAAACTGAGTTCACAGTGAAAAACTTGTTTGCATTCAATTAACTTTGATGGTTTTCTGTTCTTGTTTATTTGTGATCCCTGAAAGGTCCCAGATAGATACAAGTGGCTACTGCATCCGCTGAGTTGGTCACCCCTAGTATAGCCAAACCAATTTTTTGTTTTCTTTCCCCCACCAGTCCTTGCATAGTGTGCAAAAGGATAATGGCTCAGAGTTGCCAGTTTGAATTTGCAGCCCATCCATACTAGCGATTTGCTAAGGTGCCTCTTAAGAAAGAAAAAAAATCTCTCTGTGTCCGGAGAGTTGTCATTGACATCTATGCCCCAGACTCTTTTATTGTTTCACCAATAAGCATTGCTTCAGGCAAAACAAATCTAGGCTGCTGATAGATTCCATAATTAAGCAGCAGTGCTTTAGCTTCCACAAAGTCTTTCATCATGAAAACCTCTCTGGGTTGTCCATACATCAAGGTTACTATTAACCTCAGGGGACAATCAACCAATTTTGTGGCAATCAGTTTCTTTCACAGGGAGACAATTGAGATGAAAGAAGGAGCTCAGTGTCGCATTATTATCTAACAGAAGAGTGTCGCCAGAGAGTTTCTTCTCTCACCCTCCAGTAAAATTCATTGCCATTAGTTTGCAGTCAATTTTAGCAACAGAAGATCATTTTAAATTAGAGGAAAGCAATGATGCTTTGGCTGCAACCCTGCCCACAATGTGTAAATAGAAATCCCACTCTGTCAGTGAGACTTGCCCATGTCTAATTGAGTGAGATTTCAGCTTTTATTTCCAATTCATTGTATATAATATTATATTTTCAACATCTTGAAAATCAGCTTGTATGTCTAAGTCTGTATCTGTGTTTGTCACTCACATGGATTAGCCCTCAGACAAATTCACTTAAGAACCAGTTGAATAACAGAGTGGTGTGGTGATATCCTAACAACTGCTACTTCATTCTCCTCACAGGAGCAGTAATCCAGCATTTAAAATGAGGTGGTGGGGGGGAGAGAGATCATGGTTTTTGAAGTGGTTCCTTTTTTTCTTGTAATAGTAATAAATACAGATAAGTCTTATACTGTTACTCCTCTGTGTTCATGTGTTCATTTCATGAGTTCTGATGGAATGGATTATACCAAACATGACTCAAAAATTATTCAGAAAAATATTTTAAAAAAACAAATCTTGATTTTGCCGCATGTTGAGCACTATGTATATTTGCTGTAGCCTCCTGCCTCACAGATACTTTCTCTGACACTTGTTTGAGTTCTCTATTTTATATAAATGATGATATTTTAGAACTCTTTTGGATATCATGGGACCTGGGGATCCATAGATATTAATATCCATGAGGGCCCTAGAATCAACTCCCGATGGATAGTAAGGGCCCACTGTAATCTTACATATTTTGAAGGAAAGGTATGTGAAATCCCTCTGTCCTGCATGGTAATCCAGGGTTGCATCCCATGTTTTGTGAGCCGGCAACTGCTCACACAACAGATATCTATTTTTATGTTTTTCATCTTTACAGCTCCATGTATGCCCTTTCCCAAATCAGTATTCAGATATCCCCTAATTCCCTCGAGCAAATGTGGGTGTACAGAAGGGACTGCGGGAGGTGATTAATTCCCTCTGTGAGCATATTTTGTCCCCTCAGCAGATCAAACTAACTGGGTTTTTCCTACTGCAAAATTCCCAGGGCAAATGCCAGAAAAATCAGCCAAAATCCTCTGCTAAGGCTGGAGTGGCAATCATTTTGAAGGCTACAGTACACAAGATAGTCCACCTTCTCTTTCCACTGAAGAGAAGTGCAGCCATTGCCAGATTAAATTGTTATCTCCTTAATTGTTATGTTTTGAATGTTATCCTTCATTGTTCTGGTTAGTGAAATCTTTGAATATGTACATTTGTTTAATCATAAAATCTATAGACAACTCCATATCAGGGATTTTGGAGTGGTGGACAAACACTTTTTAAAAAATTTAAATAAAAATGCATTTATAAAACTAGCTGCAGTTTCTGGATTTCATAAGCACACAAAAATTGCTTATTTCCTTTTTTGCATACAAGAACAAAAACAAGCAATTACAAAAGTTTTCTTTGGAATTCTTAAAAGTGCAAAGGGATACCACAAGAATCAGTTTTTGTCTTTGTACCAAAGTAGCGACTGGGTTTTCACATTAAAGTCCAATGTTTGTAGCTATATTCCTTCGGTTCTATTCATCTATTTCTCTTCCTTTTCCTCTCCTCTCCTCCTGTTATTACCTTCAATATTCAACACATAGTGTTGAAATTGATTACATGCACTCTGGGAAAGTGGTCTCTTTTTTGCTTTGTTTACTCTGAAAAGTGCCTAGTACATCATCACAATTATAGTCTTTACTCCACTGGGAAGAAACAAATTCTTAGCACAGATGACTATCACAATCATAGAGCTAGGAAAGACCACAAAGGCTATTCTATCCAAGCCCCTGCCATGCAGGGATACACAATCAAAGTACTCCAAACTGATGGCCATCCAGCCTCTGTTTATAAAACCACTGGAGAAGAAGATGCCACCACACTCTGAGGCACTGTCAAACAGTTCTTAATGTAAGGAAATTCTTCCTAATGTTTAGGTTGAATCTATTTTCCTATAATTTGAATCAATTGTTCCATCTCCTTGTCTCTAGAGCTGCAGTAAACAAGCTTTGTCCTTCCTCGAGACGACATCCTTCCAAATATTTAAACATGAGTATCATGTAACCCCTTGATCTTCTCCAAGCTAAAAATATCCAGCTTCCTAAGCTGTTCCTCAAAAGGCATTTTCCAGACCTTTTACCATTTAGGTTACCCTCCTCTAGCCACGTTCCAGCTTGTCAATGCCTAGTTAGAAGAAGTAAGACAAAACATGAACATATAAATAATCAGGGAGGGGGAAATCGAAAAAAATAGAATAACAAATATTATAAAATATGGCAGATTAAAGTTTTAATCCAGCCTTCCTCGCTATGAGGTCAAGATCAAAGATCATCTACAACAGCATAACTACAATGTTTCCTACACAAAGCTGTGAAAAAAGTATCATATTTCATTACATAATATGTGCTACCACACAGTGGTCCCAGAATTTTTTTTCTTTCCTCGTGTAATTGTCACAGGTAGTTTTAAAGAAAAAAGAACCATAGAGATCTCCCGCCTCCCTTCCCTACCCAAAGACAGTTTATATAGATAGGAGGCTCTCTTGGGAGATTGTATTAGAGAATTCTAAGTACCCCCCAAACTACAAGATCCATAGAACAGAGTAGTGGCAGGTATTTCATAAATATCC